TATGTATGTATGTATGTATGTATGTATGTATGTATGTCTGTATTTATTTATTTATTTATTTGAAAGCAATCAATCTAGGGACTCCACCACATCTGTTTTTTGAGTATATCTGCGAACAAAGAACAGAACTGTTGGAAATAAAGCTTTCCTCCTGGTTTGGTTCATATGTACATGTAAATATGTGAAGGGTTAAACACTTTAACTACAGCAACGGATTGTCAGCTTGTGAAAACTTTTCTTTGCTGTTTAAATGCCAGACTTTTCCTTCTACAGCAACAGAACCAAGAGATCTGTACCAATTAAACTTGCCGGAATAATGGAAAAAATGAGCCTCCAGTAAACTCAATGATCATCAAAATGCTGGAGAAACGATTCATCAACTTCTTATCTGACTTTGTGTTCCACTTATTGAAACATCCACACTGAACGTCCACTTTTAGAGTTTTAATCGTCTTCTCAGGACGTTTGTCAAATCTTTTATGAGAGTCAAAGTTTATAATGTGCTCCTTTCATACCTGATGATAACAAGCAAGAGATGAGATCCCGAGCCCTCAGCTTTATTCAAGTCATGACGCAGCTAATATGGTACAGCTAATATACACAGGTCTATATGTACAACAGATAATACAGTCCTGTTAGTGTGTGTCTGAGGAGATTCATGGGCATGTTAACGCCACTCACACACACTCACACACACCCATAACAAAGTAACATGCTCCTCAGAAATCTTGACACGTCAGAAAAGTTGTGCAGATCTTGTTCTGTTCTTCATCTGAATTTTAAAAGTAGGAAGTATCACATCAACACATCTAATCTCAGWCTTCTCTCTGTTTCTCTCTCTTTTTTTCTTTTTTTTTTTTTAGAAAAAGACAAAAAACAAAATAGACAACAGCTGCTTACATTTGTTCATGGCAAGATGTGACAAATAAAGAATCTATTTAATCTACAGTTCACAGCTTAAGAAACGAGGACAGAGTCAAAGACGAGGTGACAATACAATAAAGAGACACAGAGGAGGATAAATTTGGATCGGATGTGAAATTGTTATTATTTTTAAATAAAGTAAAATTGAACTGGTTTATCAGGACCAAAGTGAACACCAACTGTAGACAGAACTGAAGGTTGGTTGAATGTTTGAGTTTAACTTTCACTAAAATGTTCTTTTGTCAAAAGGGCATTAAATCAAAGCACCACATAGTAACATAAACTACACAACCATTCAAACACAGACACGTTTTATGTTTTAATCTTTGACACAAATCTCAAACAAACTATTTCTATTCTCGGTGTGAACGGGACGACAAACGATGAGCGGGGGACAGAAAGCAGCCCCAGGTTGATGCAGGCAAAAGAAACACAACTCACTCAACACAACCTTTCCTTTAACATCTTTCCTGTTTGGACTTGAAGCTGCTTTAAACAAGCTTCCTCTGGTCAGTTACTGTGAGCGCCTGAGTCTCAGGCGCAGCGGGAAGTTTGTGTCTTCAAGAGAGGATTTTCTCCCGAGTCTCAGGCAGCTTCAGCGCCACCAGGCCTCCACAGACGAGGGCGGCGAAGGCCAGGAAGATGGGGATGATTTTTGTGATGCCGATGAAGGCCGCAAAGATGAAGCTGGCCATGATGGCTGCAAACTTACAGATCCCGTTCAGGATACCAAACGCTGTGGCTCTGGAGAAGCAAAAAAAACAGAGGGCTCATATTAAAAAACTCAAAACTCTGCGTTCTGTAGATTTTAGAATAAAAACACACATGTTGACAGAAGTATATACATTTATTTAGTTACAGTATTTAGGTCAATGTTTTGATGATTTGTAACTTTACCAACTTTTTTTTAAATCATAACTTTTATTTCATTGCATTAAAAACCTTAAAATACTTTTACTTCTTTACATTAAAATTTAACGCCTAGTAACACATTTAAATATAACCGGAACTAATCGTGAAAAGAATTGTTTATGCACTCTAAAAATGAAGTGTTGAATTTGCTTGAGTTATGTCAACTGGTTTCACTAAACAGAGCTGAGTGAATGTAAAGAAATTGATACACAAGAAAATGTGTAAATTGTTCATTTTACTCAACTTGGTTTAGTAGAACCAGTTTGCTCAAGTAAAATCAACACTTAGTTTTTTTAGTGTGTGTGTAAAAGGACTTTTACTTTCTTGAATATTGTAAGCAGTTTTATGGCTTTTACTTAAGTACTTTTCTTATAGGCAAAATAATTTTTTACCAAAATCATTTTCTGTTAAGGTATTTTTTACTTTTACTTATTTTATTTATTTATTTTAAGTATTTTATACACCTCCACATTTTACAAACAAAATGCAGAATTGCATCTGTCATTTGCTGCAACTCTTTATGGAGGTTGTTAATTGTTATTCTGGAATAATTCTTGCCAGAAAATAAAAAAAAAATCCTCATCTCTTCGATCTGAGTAAAATAAAATAAAACGATTTGAGAGAAAAGCACTGACAGATTTATGTGTAATGAAAATCTTAGAGGGCAGTTCAGGATTAATGACAAGCTCAGAAAAAAAGTCTATTGCTCCTTTCAATTTAAGGCATTAAATAGATTTGGGTCTAGATTTTAGTCTTTATATGGTTTAAAGTGTCAGATCTTTAAATCAGAGAGCTGCATAAAGCCAGCAGTTTGTCGCTGCCAGCAACCTTTGATATCCTGCAGAGGAAATGACTACATTAGCTTAATTAAATAGTACTAAAAGGGAGTTGGATTGAATTTCATAGTATTTTTATAGTAAGTTTACTGAACAGAGACTTTTCACTTAAACCGTATAAATATCATCATAAGAAGAACGTTGTGTCAAAACGAGTCACTACATTTGGATTATTTCCAGCTACAGTCCATAGGGGCAACATAAAATACCTAAAATACATCAAAACTGAAAATACAAAAGCCTGCCAGCTTTCATGTCAAAGTTTCAACTAATGTGTTTTTTATCGTGAAAAATGATGATTTAGTCTTTTTGGTCAAATCTCAAACATGACATTTGGATAATGTTATTTTGTGAGGGCAGTCTTTAACTGGTTTTGTTTCAAAAACGAGTCCATTGAAGATATTCAACAAAATCCATTCACCAATTCAGAAGATTATTTTAACAGAGAGACAAGGTTGACTTTGACAGTCAATGCCAAAGTTTTAAACAAAGCTCTTGCACAACCTGAAGTGCTTGACTCCTGGCTACTACCACACGAAAGTTTTGTCTGAGTATTTGTAAAACGGAGTGAGTTGTAGCTATTTTGTGCTCATTAAGGTCAGTTGGTTTTGGTGGCCATCTTGGCTCCATTTGAATCCAAAAGTTCATGTCATGAATTGGTTTTTGGAAGGACCCAGAAATCTGGACCAGGACACGAACTTGAAATTTAAAACATGAACAGCCGACAACACAACAAACAAAACAAAAAAGAAGATGAAAGTAGAAAGACTAGTGAAGGGCAAATGTTATGGAGGCCTCAGAACCACTGTGTGTCAGAGTTTGTATCAGAACACCACAGTCATCGTTGGTTCAAAATGTTTTGAAGAATTTCATTGGTTCAGAGCATTTAAATCTAAAGTTTTCTAAATGGACTTAAACATTTATACCTTCATATTCTATTATTTTTGTTGCTTGGATTTATCTAAAAATATTTTTAGCGTATGAGTGTGTCAGCATGCTAAAATGTCTGACTCCTTTTGCCAAATCACTCCTGGTGCAGCGTCTAATAACAAGCCGACAATACATTTTAATATTTAATTATGGTGCAATGAATGTTTAGTATAAATGAACAAAAATATCCACAGATTCAAACAACCTCACAGTCTTTTCTAAACTTTTATTTGTGACAAAACTGAAACAGTGTCAGTGGCGTCAACTGGCCACCAGATGTCGCTGTTCTAAGCTGGACTGAAAGCCTCAAGCTTTGACTCTTTTTCAACACAATTAGGAGAACCTCTGAGCTTCATGAGGCTTCAGCTGCCCACCACTAAACGAGAAGGCAGGGAAACAGGCAGCGTACAAACAGGATGGCAGACTGAGGAGAGAGAGGAAACCAAGAGCCAAAGTAGGCTGGAGGGAGTGAATACAGAAACAGCCGAGACTAACGAACACGGAGATCGGGTGTGAACGGTAGAATGAAGGAAAGACAGACTGAGGTGAAATAGCTGATGATGACACAGGGAAACACAGGGAAACACAGGGAAACAAGACAAACTAAACACCAAGGAAAACATGGAGGACTTACAACAAGATTTAAAATAAGAGATGATCACAGTTAATCAGCTGTAGACGTACACCCAGTGATTATTTTCTGAGCCGTTAACAAAATCTCTTCAGCTGCTCTTAAAACATCTTGCTAACAGACGGACAAATGAATACRGACACTGAAAATTACTTTATACCATTATAAATAAGCAACAATTTTTCTGTTGATAAATTTAAAGCAGCTGAATTTTAGACATTACGATTATGTATTCTATTACATCATCAAATATATTTGTTGGAGCTTAAATATTTAAATAGTATGTTTTCCATTTCCAGGGAGCAAAAAAAGAAATGTTGAGGTTGGGGACGAACAGATGTCTTTGATGACTGAACAGTTGTCTTGGATAAAAAGTTTGGCCTAAATAAATTGGAGTGCAAACCAAGATCTGGGTGGCTTGATTTGAGTTTCAGTAATCTTCGCTCAAACAGTTGATTCTTCAGAGCTGAGTGCGACTCTGAAGTTTCTCCAAATCAAGACGAAAACTGGTTGATGAAACAAGACGTAGGCGTGCAAATTCAGTCAACATCAAACTCTACTGCATCTGCTTGGTTTTATATTTATTCAGTTTGATTTAAAATAATAAAACTAACTTATAAAAGGTGTCTTCCATGGCTTCCCTTTAAATTCTAACATCTCTCATATCACTGTCCCGTCCTCACTGCTTCAGTTTGTGAATAAATGTGATTTTTAAAGGCTTCTGAAGGCCTGCTTCAAGCTAAAATGAAAACTGCATCTTTTAATGAGAAGGTGTTGACCCATTACCTTTTGGAGCAGGGGTACAGCTCCACAGAAATGACCTCTAGTCCGTTCCAGGCTGCCACGCTGACAGCATAAAAGAGACACTGCCAGCAAATTACAGCTCCTTGACTGAAACTTAACAGCAGCAGGAAGGTGCAAGCTGAGGACGCCAGCATGGAGCCACCTGGACAGAGAGACAAATGACACCATGTCATTTGTCATGGCGTAGGCATAGTGCTGTGATCATGTGTCCATTTGTACAAGAAAAAAGAATCATATAAGGAAATACATGCAGTGAAATAAACACAGGCAGAACCAGTTGTCTTATCTGAAAATAAACATACATCAGTTGTGCTGCAGTACCTATTGCACCCCTACTTCCTATAGCTTTGTCTCATGGTGGTTTCTCTTTTTTTAAAGCCAAGATTCAGAATTTATTTAATCCACCCATCCATCCATCCAACCACCTATTTATCCATCCATCCATCCATCCATCCATCCAACCACCTATTTATCCATCCATCCATCCATCCATCCATCCAACCACCTATTTATCCATCCATCCATCCATCCATCCATCTATTTATCCATCCATCCAACCACCCATTTATCCATTCATCCACCCACCCATCCAACCACCAATCCATCCATTCATTCATTCATCCAACCACCCATCCATCCATTTATCAATCCATTCAACCACCCATCCATCCATTCATCCAACTATCCACCCACCCGCCCATCCAGCCACCCATCCATTCATTCATCCACTCATTTATCCAACCATCCACCCACCCATTTATCCATCCATCCATCCATCCATCCATCCATCCATCCATCCATCCATCCATCCAACCACCTATTTATCCATCCAACCACCTATCCATCCATCCATCCATCCATCCATCCATCCAAACATCCATTTATCCATTCATCCACCCACCCATCCAACCACCAATCCATCCACCCATCCATCCATTTATCCACCCATCCATCCATTCATCCAACCATCCATCCATTCATCCAACCATTCAACCACCCATCCATCCATTCATCCAACCATCCAGCCACCCATCCACCCACCCATTTATCCATCCATCCATCCATCCATCCATCCGTTCGTCAATTTATCCATCCATCCATCCATCCATCCATCCATCCATCCATCCATCCATCCATCCAACCATCCAAATTTCCATCCACCCATTTATCATCCATCCACCCATCCATCCATCCACCCACTCATCCATCCATCCATCATCCATCCACCCATCCATCCATCCACCCATCCATCCATTGATGACAGACATTAAAAAACTCAAATCTTTAGGTGTTATGTAGCCTGGCCTGCTTAATCTATTGTAACTAAATAATTAAAACAAAACAAGTTATTTCTCTGCTCAAAAAAAAGCCTTCCTTGTGTCTTCTTTATTCATTTATAAGCTAATACACACAGACCAAAAACTCATCTTGGAGCTTTGACACTTTCTGTATATCTCACCTATTATTCGGATCCTTCCTATCTTGTCCATGAATAATGCTGAGATGATGTTGCCAGGCAACACAGCCAAGCTGCCCAGGAAGCTGACCATGTAAATGACAATGTCGTTTTCCTCCTTGAAGTTTAAATGGCAGCCTGTCTTAGGGTGGAGGAAGGTGGTGTTTTCCATCCGACAGTTTTTGAACTTCTCCTGCCACAGGTCTGGAAGGACAGAAGAGTTTTAAAGGAGGAGATGTCCTCATATTTCACCTGAACCGCCTCAGCAGAAACACATTACTGTGTTGTGCCAGCCTGCCCTGGTACCTGTGTTATAGAAGACCGTGTTCTTAATTGTGCAGTTCTCAAAGAATGTGTTGGTTGATTTGATGTCCTCGAAGTAGCAGTTCTCAAATAAGGACTCCTCGAACTTTACAGACTTAATCTCGATGTTTGCAAACCTAAACGAGAGGAAAATGATGACATAAAGCTGGAACAGGAACAAACTCTGGGGTATGGCTTTGTGCCCCCCCCCCCCCTTGTTTAGGAAGATGGTGCAGAGGAGCTCACTTGTCGTGGATGTACTCGCCCTCGCGGTGGATTTGGTTGACCAAAGAAAAATTAAAGTGGAAGCGCTCCACACGTTCTCGATGAAACACTCGGACCTTGGACTCGAACTCTTCGTACTGCATGTACTTTATCATATCCGGGAACCAAACTCCCAGTCCGTGGTAGCTACAACAAAAATGAACGAAACAAAAACCAAACTGAGCACTGGAGTGCTTTTACKTGATCACAGCGAAGAGCGTTCTTGCTTGTGCTTTAACAGAACACGTCAATTTGGACGTGGTTCTACCTGAAAGCCAAGCAGAACCACACAATGACAAGGAGGAGGCCTTGCAGTCTGAGCTCTGGAGCTGATAAAGACATCACGTTGGCCATCACCTGTAGGAAGATCAGACAAAACATCAAGCTCATCATGAAACACGACCTTTGAGATCAGATCGATCTCTGTTTTGTTTTCTAAACTTAGCACAAAAAGTGATGACATTTGTGTTTGCTATTATTTCTTTAAATCAGGGATAGGCAAGCCTGGTCCTCGAGTGCCACTGTCGTGCATGTTTTACATGTTTCTCTGCTCCAACACACCTGATCTGAATGAATGATGATTAACAGGCTTCTGTGGAACATGAAGAGGTAATTCAATCTCTGAATCAGGTGTGTTGGAGCAGGGAAACAAGTAAAATTTGCAGGACAGTGRCACTTGAGGACCAGGATTGCGTACCCATGCTTTAAATCATATATTGTTAGAAAGCCTGTTAATTTCACTTTTAAATGGCGCCACATTTGTAAGGAACATGCATTTGTGAGATGAGCAGCAGAGCTGAGTATGTGGGTTGCACACATGAAAAATATGCCAAATCGTCTCTGTCAAACATTTAATTTTGCTGCTGCTATTGACACTTGTTTTGAGCTTCTGGTACCCCCCAGGTGCTGCTGCTCGCTATAAGATTTATTGCCAAGATAATTTACCACAGTGTTTTTCAACCCTGGTCCCTCAAGGCCCACTGCCCTGCATGTTTTAGAGGTTTCCCTGCTTCAACACACCTGATTCAGGTGATTACAGTTCAACAAAAGCCTCTTAATCCGTTATCAATTGAAATCAGCTGTGTTGAAGCAAAAACATCAAAACATTTTTTTAGCATCAATCCAGTCCACACACCACATCAGTAGGTGGCGGTAATACACCTTACAGTTCTTTGCCAACCGCAAAAAAAAAGAGAGAAGAAGAAGAAGAAGCCATGAGGACCAGGGTTGTAAAACACTGATTTACCAAACACTAATGCGCTTACTTTTAGTGATAAGCAAATTGAATCATAATATACAGTGATTTTTTCCAACCTGCTGCAGCATGGTCATTTTTCGGACAGTCCAGCGCTGGAAGGCAGTCCCAGTATCACTCTGGATCTCTATGAACTCGTCCTCTTGAGTTTGTGGAGTTTTTATGTTTGTCACCTGTCCAAATACACACGTTAATGTCTTCCTTTTCACCACAGTTTGTTTTTAGTTCTCTGCTGAGCTGAGATCCCTGAAGCTGGTGTGGGTTTTATATTTATGGTTCAAAGATCATGCTAAAGAAATTCATGGAAAACTTTAGTAGCGTCCATGCAGAAAAAGTTATCAGTTACAGTTTTGTACTGATGACTTTTTTTAAATACCAGATTTAGCTTTTAAAGAGTTTAAGAAATTTAACAGAAAAAAAACATAATTTAAAGAAAAATTAATGACATTATTAAAGATACGAGCAAAGTCTAAAGTCTATCATAGCACCTAAAAACTTTACATCCAACTGAATTGTACACAAATCTTCCCTAAAACTAAGGCTACTAAAACTAGCATTTTTATCAGATTTTTCTAAATTTGCTTTGCACATTATTTTTTAAATAACTTGCAGACAGTCTACGCTTGTTGTGTTTTACTTTTCCCCCACCTAACATTTGGACATTTGAAAAATGAGCCCAGATATTAGCGTTGGTGTGGATGGAGGCTTACAGTGAAGACTCTCTCCGGCTCGCCTTTGGCCTTCCAGTTGGTGTCATGAACTTTCCTCAGGATCATCCAGGCCTCGTCGTGTCGAGCGTTCTGAAAACCCACACACGTGCACACGGTCAATCTACAAAAAACGTCTCCGTTAGTTTCCAGAGCTCTGTGTGAAACCAGTCACATGTGCTGGTGAAATTATACAGTATGTTCTGCCATGTTTAAAGGAGGCTTTTTTTAAATTATAGCACTGAAMCAGTTCTGTATACACCCCTGGACACGCCTGCTGGGTGCCAGTGTTCACGTTAGGTCGGTCTTTTTACTCGGGCGATTGCTGTCTTATAATTTCGGGCCGTGTGGCAGCCGTGACACACAAACACAACACCACATGTGGTCGAAGGGCTGACATCGTCCTGGATGGGAATCAGAGGTGGGTGGTGTTGTTTTTAATGCCTTAGCAGTTCTTCGCAACCTTTGCACAGACGTGGGATGTTGCTGCAGTTGTTGATTTCTCATATTTCATCACCAGTCGCAGCTAGATGTTTAAAACCTGCAAACTGAAATCATAGATTAGGATTCTACACTTATAGCTGCAGTATCTGACCTCCAGCAGGAAACGCGGACTCTCTGGCATGAAGAAGATCCCGACGAGAGCAGCCAGCGCAGGCAAGAGGCACACCAGAATGAAGAGTCTCCAGCTGTGCATCTGAAACTGGGTCCCAATGGCAAAACCCCAACCTGCCAGACCAAAAAAATGTCAGTTTAAACAAGAAAACTAAACTAAATTGATTTTTATTAAAATTAGTTTCAGAGAATATCGATCTGCTTCAGTTTGAGGTTTTACCATAGTGAGGAATGATTCCCCAGGCGGTGAAGGAGGCGTACAGGCCTCCCAGCATCCAGAACATGCAGAGCCAGCTCAGATGTTCTCCACGTTTATCCATCTGCAGGAACTCAGTGAAGTAGGTGTACACAATTGGGATGGAACCTCCGATTCTGGAGCAGGAAACACATGTTTATTTCTTCACCTCCTCTTCGAACACATTTGTATTGTGTGACGCACGCAATCAGATATAGGTATTTGTTTGGGCATGCAGGTATAGCTTCAGTTTTATTTGTCTAAAAGTTCTTGACATTCTGTGCACTCTTGTAAAGTTGTTCTGAATGATAAATGAATTATGCTATTTCTGTTGCTAAATGCATTAACAGACAGAACAACTTATTTGTTTTCATTTCAGACAGATTTACAAAGCAAATCTCAGAATTTAACTTTCTTTTTGGGGAAAAACGAAGAAAAATCTGGCATTCAATATTTTTATTTTATGGCTAGAAGAGCTGTGATAGAAGAAAATGTAATTAGGTTTTGAATTACAGACAAATGAATGGAACTAATTAAGTGTTTTACAGATTTACCTTCTTGAAAAACTGTCAAAAGTGGTGACTAAGTTGTGTTATGCATATGGCTGAKTCTATTTAACAAATATATTTAGAAAGAAACAGTGTAGCCAATAAAGTTGTAAAATTTACCAGAAACAGCCCTGCAGAAAAGGAGCCGGCAAAGGCAGAAAAACCGAAATAAACAAGTAAAGAGCATTATTTCCTTGTTTTAATTTGCATAACAAAGGCTTTTCTCTGTTGAGGTAAATAAACAGGAATATCCTTGTTTGTAGCTTGCAGCAAACGTATCTTTGAGGTGGTATTAACCGCTTGGGACCGTGGTGTGTGTCAGCATGCCGCACTGGCAGCTTTGTGTAATGAAACACTGAGAACCTACTGAGAACCTGTCTTCATGGATGACTACAAATACAGAAAATATCAGCTTAAAGCAGGGGCAGAGCTAGACTTTTTTGAAAGAGGTGGCCAAGTTGTTATCTAGCGGGGCACATATAAATAAAGAAAACTACCCTGAATTTGAAAATTTAAGATGGCCACCACAGCTAAATTTAAATGGCTGGTAGTGGTGTTACCAAGAATAAGCTAACCGCTAATGCTACTTCTGTCATTAAATACACAGCTGAACAATTATATAGTAGTAGCCAAGAATAATCTTCAACAAAATCTGAATGTAAACACAAAATCCAAGATGGCCACCAATGCTATTTTCAAATTATTAGACCTCAGCCATTTTTTAGCAAAATTTAGCTGAAATGTGGTAAGGCGGTAGCCAAGAGCAGCCCCCATGTCACTTTGAAATCTCAGTTTTAAGCTTTTAGATATTAAACTGAAATTCAGTGTGGTGGTAGCCGAGAGCCCAGCAGATTCTAAAATTAAATAAAAGAATCGGAGATGTCCACCAAAGCTTCAAGGGGCTACAATTCAGCTAGCTGAAATTTTGTGTGGTAGAATTGTTGCTTTTATATTAATTCACTGGATTAGAATTTTTTTTCCTTCACACATTGATAGGTTCCCTTTACATTAAATAATACAACTGCATAACTGATATTTACTTTGTTTTATCTCTAACTGGTCATCTTTTATTGCCAAATGTGATCCACACCCCCACTTGTCAGTCCCTTAGGGTGACACCTGGGGTGGCCAATGGCTAGTCGGGGTGGCACTTGCCACCCTGGCGACCCCATGGCTTCACCCTTGGCTTAAAGAACCATTTTTAAGGACACCATTCAAGGAAAGTGGGAAAAGAAATGAACTTTTTAAGGTTGGATTTAATCAAAAGTGTTCCACAGTTTTAAAGAAACTGTTTGTTTTAATGGAAGATTTTTTTTCGTGCTTCTGTTATATAAAGTATTTAAATGTCATGCATTTTATTTAAAGAAAAAAACCTGCTTTCTGCAACCACATTACTCAAAGAAAAGGTCAGTCATTATGAAAAACCATTCGAGCTGCCTTTTTCTTCCAAACACAAAAAAATGTACTGTATGTGAGAGGCGCCTCACCCAAAGCCAGAGCAGAACCTGAAGAAGAGGAAGAAGCCGTAGCTCTGAGCGAAGCAGGACAGGAAGGAGAAGATCAGGTCGATGGTCARGACGTAGATCAGACACTTCCTCCTGCCCATCTTATCGCACAAACCGCCCCACACCAACGCACCCACCATCATGGCCACATACACCAACAGACCTGCAACAAACACAGGCACTCATAATGACTTTATATGTGACTTTAAACCTTTCTAAAACTGTCAGACTCATGAACTCGCTCAAGTTCTCCACCAGGGGTCCCTCTTTACCCTCACATGAGCACAGACAGGGATCTCTGCTGTGACACATCCTTTTTTCACATGCAGACTAATCAAGCTCTGTTATTCATTTCTTGGTATTTTATGATGAATAGAATACATGTAAGCTGACTGTAGAGTTCTGTGAAGGCTGACAGGGAAAGAAAGGTCACAAATGTTTGCAGACAGCTGAGAACACAGCTAAGCCTGGTTTCAGCTTTTCTCACGCACGACACATGTTGCTTCACTTGTTTGTCTTTTTGTGATTTTAGGATATTTTCCCTCCTCTTTCTATAGTTTCCAGGAATAAAATATTCTCTGACTCATAGCATCCTTGAGCTCAACATTACACAGGCAGCTGGTCCTATTTGCCGTTCCTCCTGTTTGTCAAGTCTCCAATCAGTCATATGTTCTCGTTCTGTTTGTCGCCTACAGGACTCAGTCGTACAGTTTTCCCACCGTCAACCTGATTTAAAACCCCACATATCTCCTGCCTGCCCTGCTCTGTGTTTTTACTACAGAGCCCCAATTACTGAAGGCCTAAGCAGCTTAGCGGCACATGGAGCCACGTTGGTGCACCGTGCACCTTCCCCGTGGATTACTAAAGTACCCGAGTGCCCCGACGCTCCGCACGCCGTGCTGCACATCCCATTCAACAAGAGGCTACCAAGGATCCGAGCAGACAGTGTCAAAGTCGTCATGTCAGCTCATATCTCAGCCATGTTGATGCTTTAGGTGGAGTTTATTATTTTTTTCTTTGTGACGTGTGGTTGACAGGATGGGCTTGTGATTGGAAAGCCTGTCCTTCAGGTGAAGGCCCGGGATCTATCCCAGCTGCAACACGTCTGAAAAAATCTGAAAAAAACAGTGTCCTTCATCCCTTTGAGGTCACTGAATACCAGGAGGGGGAAGAGGGAATATATCTTTTCATTGTATTCAAAGTAAAAGCACCCGAAGTGTATTCGTCACATCTAAAAGAAGAAATAATGCACCTTTGCAGGCAAGCAAAATGTACCGAGGCAAAACCAGTCACAGATTTCTTTATAAATCAACATAATATTCAGTTTATTCCATACATAAGGTTCTATTGATGTTGTATCCTTACTCAGGTCTCCTTATTTTAATAGAAATCCTAAATAAGCGATGAAATTTTTAGCTTTTTGTTTTGTCCATTTGGTTGTGGGATGCAGAGGACAGCAGCCACGAGATGCGTAAGCTGAATTTAAAGAACCCACAAGTCTGACGATGATGATGACAGACTGAAGTTTTAGGTTTACTATAAAGAATTTAGAGATTTAGAGATGTGACGTTTGCGAACGATCCGAATCTTTTGAACAAATCCTTGCAACAAACGATAAGAACAGAGTTGCGGATTGTAAAAAGTCGTTTCTAGTTTTACTTTGTTCACTCCGAATATCTTTTTTATCCCTCCTTAACCACAGAGACAATCGCTCCTTCTTTGCTTTTTTCACTGAAAACAGGCAGAAGGATGAAGTTACGGAGCCCGCGAGGAGACACGGGGGGATTTTTTTCCTTTTGCATTCCCACGCAATACCTTTGGCGTTCCCTCGCAATACTTTTGCGTTCCCTCGCAATACTTTTGTGTTCCCTCGCAATACTTTTGCGTTCCCTCGCAATACTTTTGCGTTCCCTCGCAATACTTTTGCGTTAACTCGCAATACTTTTGCGTTAACTTGCAATACTTTTGCGTTCCCTCGCAATACTTTTGTGTTAACTCGCAATACTTTTGCGTTCTCTCGCAATACTTTTGCGTTCTCTCGCAATACTTTTGCGTTCTCTTGCAATACTTTTGCGTTCCCATGCAAAAGATTGTTTTGTATATGAATGAATTAAATCAGAYTTTTATTTTGAAATATCCGGTTACCAAAACAGGATGTGTCGCCACAAGTTCGTGAAATTGACATTGATGTTGTGTGGCTGCACTGTGTTAAAATATCGTCATATGACACACTTCCATGCGTGGCTGTGTGATATATTCATTCTGAAGCTGAATTAAAGCAGTAGGCTAACTCGCTAATGGTGAACATGTGAGTTTGCTAATAAACCGGCAGGCACAACAGTGATAAACTACTTTTGCGAGGGAACACAAAAGTTATGGCGAGGTAACGCAAAAGTATTGCGAGGTAACGCAATATTATTGCGTGGGAACGCAAAAGAAAAAATCTCCCATGTCCCCTCGTGGGCTCCGTATAAAGTACAGCAGCTCAGGGAAAAAAAAGGTGGGGGGGTGGGGGCTTGACAAAACACATGGTTCTACCCACACGATGTGATGACATCACTTGTTCAAAATGAAACAACTCTTTGAAACAAACCGCTCGTATAGATCCAGATCCCATTCTGTCTCTATTTCCCCTCTTGTTTCACAACTGATTCACTTTTACAGCTAAAACTGATAAAATGATTTTAGTTTAAAACTTTGTCATGAAAGTCAGTAGGCGTTGTGTCATTCATTCAAGAAATGTTAGGACTTCAATATGTGTGCTGATTAATCTATGCGCCCTGTGATGGACTTGCGACCTGTCCAGGGTGTACCCCGCCCCTCGCACTGTGACTGCTGGATATGGGCACCAGTGACCCACGCAACCCTGAAAAGGAAGAAGCGTGTACAGAAAATGGATGGATGGATGGATGGATTTATCTATGCTTCCTTGAATTCAGTAACAACCAGCCGATATTTGTCTCCCATGCCAAATTTCTTTTATTTCATCTACAACTATAAACACYAATGGGACTATATAACAGCACCAAGCCGCCTGTATTCCACACAACATTTAAGCAGTTCGTCCTCCATCCTAGTCTCAGGTACAGATCGAACACATTTCTGTTTTTCCACTTGTCTGGTGAACAGAGCATGAGCGTGCATCACAAAGCACCATTCTGTAGATCTACTTCATATTCTCAGCCAGTGATCAGAGCTCTCCTCTCGCTCGGCACAAACAGATGCTGTGATTTCATTTTCGCCGGGCCTTCCTCCTGCTATCCCAGCCTGTCAGAGGCCCGAAGCRTACCTGACAGCTCTGCACCGGGGCGCTGCAAGCCGCCAGGATCTCTGACTGCTGCAACATGCTCCATATTAGCCTGGGAACACACGCTGCATGCAATCACGGCCCCGTTCCTCATCAGCCTCTCCTAACGCTCCATCCCAGGAGCTCGTTGTTAAGGTGGAATGAGTGATGCGCAGTCTGTCAACGTCGCCCGGCTGCACAACCCCCAGGTCTGGAGGGAAACAAGGTGAGGGGCTTTCATTTGCAGTTGAGCTGTCTGCACAGACATTGAAGAGCAAATGATTTCATGGTACATTTCCCTGCGAGCTGCATCGGTGCCACACGCAGATTTCTGTCATTTTAGGCTTTTCTGGTAAACACCTGCAAACGTGTGACGCTAAAATAAAATTCCAATAAAAGATCCACAGCCCATAATGTACAACAGAATCATCTGTCAAAATATGCATGGGTGTCTGAAAAGAATCCAAGTCCCACAAGTCAAGTCCCAGACAGTTGTGGTACCACTGCCAAGGCTCAGCGAGGCTAATCTGGCTGCACACAATGGACCAATTCACTGCTAGGACACACAATGGTAATTATTCTGTGATCCAAGCCTTCTCCCTTAACTTGCAGGAGCAGCTGGGGGATATTCCTGTTTGATGATCTGTAGCCGTGAAAAGCCAAACATCTGCAGGATTTTGTTCCAGCCGAGCACAACAGCCCATCATTTCACTGATGAGTTCCTCCTTTTCTGGGTAAAGACTGGAACTCGCAGASAGATGACTGTCATTAGCTAGTCTTGTGGGTTTCCAAAAAGGATGCGCGTCTGTGTTGGTAAAGTAGATTTCCTAAATCAATCGTTTGCCATGCGAGCTGTGTGGTTTTAGGGAATCGTACGTCAGTGTGGCGGATCTGACAGAAATCGTCAACTATGGAGTTTTGTGCAGTGCTGGCATCTATAATGTACAAGTTTGTTTTATATATTGATATATTTGTATTTAACAGAATGATGAGTAGGCTACCTTACAATATTAACAATAATATTCCAGTCATATTTGCTAAGTCAAAGACTTACTGTATGGCCCTAGAAAACCAAGGCTTGCACCAAAATTCAGCCAAAGCCAAAAAGGTAAGCTTACTTTGGAGCCAAATGATGAACTCTTACTATAAAACCTTCAAAACTTTGAATCAAACTAAGAAAAAGGGAAAACAAGAATGGTGCAGCCATTTTGGATGCTGGATGTGCTTATAAGTTGGAAATCAGAAGTAGAAACCTTTTGTTGTCTCTGGTAAGACTGTCTATACACTAATATATCTTTACATCCCAAGGTTCTTGGTGTATAAAAGTCAGTGCAACTTTAAAATCTCCATGTAATTACTATGTTTTAATTTAACTTTAGCCAGGGTCAGACACTAAAACTGCATGTTTAGTTTTAAGAACCATCATAGTTTGGCCTAAAACACCAGATATACAACAATCCAAAAGGTTAGGGGACATGTAATAAGCTTATCCTTCTTATTTCAGATGCAGTCATTGATAGTGTATATCTGGACCACCATCTGGAAGATGAAAGTTGAAAACAAAAGTTCTGGAACAACTTCCCTGTAGACTGAATCCTCTACAAATATTAAGTCCCATCCACTCCATATTGCCCAAAGCAAAGTATTTAGCTGTATTTTATTTTGAAATGAAAGATTATGTAACACCATGACTGTGCAGAGCAGAAGGCCGGACTTAAAGCCCCACAGCTAGCATGATGAACCCAGTTTCAAAAATACAACACAGTAACTTTCATCAATCAGCTTCAGTTAGTTAGTTACTTTGTCTATATGAATATAGTCGATGGTTGCGATGGACATGTCTTTGAAGTGGTATTTTCTGAAAGAGGGCATTTGTCTGAGGTCTCACTGTGGAAATGTTGAAGAATTCTAAAAATACCCGTTGAATTATTGAAAAAAGTAACTATGTTTCACTGTGGTTATAAAATGTTGCCAATTTTAATGAATTTTAAGTGGCTTTAATTGAGTTGTTCTGATTATTCTCCCCTCAAAACAAAGATTTTATTTTATTTAAGTTGGGTTATTTAGTTCAACAAGGACAGATATTACACTTCAGCTTTAACCTCCTCTATGATTTAAAGCATTCCCTTTTATTTATTTATTCATTTATTTTATTTTATTTTATTTATTCATTTCATTTCTTTAAAAAACAACAAAATTTATGTACAATAAAAAAAGCACAAAACTTTGCTGTGACCTACCCAGCAGTCCTTTGTCGGCGTTGGATATGCACATGTCCTTCTCGGCGCTGGGAAGGACAAAGCCCACCACGAACCCGTCCACCCCATCAGCCATCAGCGCCAGACCCAGCACGAAGAAGAGCATCCACTGGAAGCGTCCGTGTCCGCAGTCCTCCATGATGGTCTCGTACTGCTCCGGCAAGTTCTCCTCCTCCTCCTCCTGCTGTGCAGCCAGACGGGCTTTCCTCCTGGCCTCCAGCCGAGCCGCCCGCCGCGCCTCCTTGATCTCATCGGGGTGGGGGATGCCCTGGTATTCCCCTTCATACATCTGATCATCCTCGTCCGCGCCCTCGGTGGCGTCACTGGCTGCGTCCTCATCCTGCTGGGGGTAGTCGGTCTGGTAAGGGTAGCCGTCGTGACCTCCTCCGTCTTGAGTGTAGGTGTACTCTCCAGTATCAATCATCTGCTGGTTCACGTTGTTGTGATAGGGGTCATCCATGGTTCCTGCTGGGTGTGAGGGGAAGTCGCTGTCGTGTGCTGCTGAAGCTCAGATTGTCAGCTACAATGGCATAATCCTCCTGAGGAGTTCCTCTTGGCGTTGCTGCAGTCTCCTGGATCCCAGGTGTCACAAGCCGCAGCAGAGCTTCTGCAGTTCAGGTCTCACGTTTTAAGGCCTCACGCACTGCGTTGACGGAATGCTACCTTCCTTGATTTGCACAGTGCTGCATTCTGAACCTGAAACAGATGACAATCCATCAACTTTTTTTAACAAAACAGAGCTCTTGGAGAGCAGAGACGTTGCTGTGCACAGTTGCCTTTTAGGACAGTTTGTGACCTGTCACAGCTGCAGTCTCAAATGATAAATCTGCTGTCATTTCAGGGCTTTTAACACAGAGAAAGTAACAAAAACACATATTTTCCATCACTGGGTTATACATATGCATTTTCCTTTACTATTTTAATTTTACTTTTTAAGAGTTGATGCTCTCTGTAATCAGAAGTGTTCTTTCTTCTTTACTCCCTTCACCTTTTCACGTGTTATTCTTTCCACTTTATTCCCAAAGCATTTTCAGCTCTATTGCTGGTTATTATTCAGCACGAATAAAAGTGTCTTTTGGCAGGAGAGAGAAAGTCAGGAATGCCGGTTTCTCCTGCAGGCTGTTTGTCCTTCTGCACAAGCAGATAATCTCTTCGTCTCCTCGCTCAAACGCTCTGACGCCATTTTGATCCATCACACAGCGCTGCTGTGACGGCAGACACATTCATCTGCTTTGGGTTTTTACACTGACCAGAGCCCCGGAGCTCTGTTGCTGCGGAACAAAATGACACACTACACCAAAATACTCTGACTTTTTGTTGTCACATCAATTACTGGAAAGATTAAGAGACTTACACAGTGGAGTTATGCACACACAATAACGAAATCAATCAGCGGTTAATCTGATGGTAAGTCCTGTGTGATGTAGAGATAGGAAATGATTTTTCTCAAACCAAACAGCTCGACTGAACGCCAGCTGCTGCTTAGCGCACAATTCAGTTTCAGGTCCCACAGTTACAAACACTGACTTGTGACGGCTGTGAATCGACTGGTCAAAGTTTTTTTTTTCCCTACTCTTTTGTCTTTTTGGTGGAAGCTTTTTCCATTAATCTGTTTTAGTGTTATCTCGTCTCAAAGACTTACACCTTTCAGAACTTCAAATAGACGAATAAATAAATGGGGGGAAAAAGTGTTTTAGTGAAATGTTAGGCAACACCATGCAATGTGAGCAGGTTCAGTGCAACATGGCATCAACTCAACATGGCTCAGGAACTTCAGTGGAAAAAAGAAAACCATTAATTCTTCAAAAAAAGTATTTGTTAGACAGGTGAGTCTAACACGCTGGTTCAAGAAACTTTTCACCAGTGCTGCTGATTGGAAGTTTTACCAACAGATCTATATAATATTATTTCCTTCAAATCATCCAATTAGTCATCATGTTGAATCTGAGTGTTGTCTTCCAGGAGAAGGCTTCTATCAAAAGGTTTATATAAATGTGGTCATTTCATTTGAGAAAGAGGTCATGGAGTTTCTCCCATTTTGTTTGAGACCAGCATGCCTTAGCCAGGAGAACTGTTGCGTCCCATTCGTTACGTATTGTAATATTTTGAATACATCCCTCCACTGCATATTATAACCGCTTTTGCCTACGGGACATCGTGCTCCAAAACAAGTCACTAATACGCACTGGTAAACAAGCAATCCCTATCATGACATGCACCAACACCATCGACTACAGACTGCTGGACGGGTGTAGCAACAGTACCTAAAGGGACGTGGCTTTTGAGAAAGGTCAATTACAGCTCTTTTTTATTTGCTGTTGCACTTTTTATCTGATAATAAAAAAAGCAGATCCAAACCATGTCAGCAAAAAGCCTTCTATACAACAACAGAGCCAAGAATTGATTCTATCGAGAACAAAATCCTTGTATTGGATCGATGCTTACGTTATGAGATTGATTCTCATTTACAGTTTATTTGCACTTTATTTTTTTACCATTAAAGTCAAAAATAAAGTCCATATAGTGCAGTCTCTAAATTGTTTGGAATTAGTCATGAGCCCTCCATCATGCCTGTGTGTAATTGTGTGAATGCCATTAGGCATTCACACTATTGTTTTTGTTTTTCTCTTTATTATTATTATTGTGTGAATGCCATTAGGCATTCACACTANTACCTGACAGCTCTGCACCGGGGCGCTGCAAGCCGCCAGGATCTCTGACTGCTGCAACATGCTCCATATTAGCCTGGGAACACACGCTGCATGCAATCACGGCCCCGTTCCTCATCAGCCTCTCCTAACGCTCCATCCCAGGAGCTCGTTGTTAAGGTGGAATGAGTGATGCGCAGTCTGTCAACGTCGCCCGGCTGCACAACCCCCAGGTCTGGAGGGAAACAAGGTGAGGGGCTTTCATTTGCAGTTGAGCTGTCTGCACAGACATTGAAGAGCAAATGATTTCATGGTACATTTCCCTGCGAGCTGCATCGGTGCCACACGCAGATTTCTGTCATTTTAGGCTTTTCTGGTAAACACCTGCAAACGTGTGACGCTAAAATAAAATTCCAATAAAAGATCCACAGCCCATAATGTACAACAGAATCATCTGTCAAAATATGCATGGGTGTCTGAAAAGAATCCAAGTCCCACAAGTCAAGTCCCAGACAGTTGTGGTACCACTGCCAAGGCTCAGCGAGGCTAATCTGGCTGCACACAATGGACCAATTCACTGCTAGGACACACAATGGTAATTATTCTGTGATCCAAGCCTTCTCCCTTAACTTGCAGGAGCAGCTGGGGGATATTCCTGTTTGATGATCTGTAGCCGTGAAAAGCCAAACATCTGCAGGATTTTGTTCCAGCCGAGCACAACAGCCCATCATTTCACTGATGAGTTCCTCCTTTTCTGGGTAAAGACTGGAACTCGCAGACAGATGACTGTCATTAGCTAGTCTTGTGGGTTTCCAAAAAGGATGCGCGTCTGTGTTGGTAAAGTAGATTTCCTAAATCAATCGTTTGCCATGCGAGCTGTGTGGTTTTAGGGAATCGTACGTCAGTGTGGCGGATCTGACAGAAATCGTCAACTATGGAGTTTTGTGCAGTGCTGGCATCTATAATGTACAAGTTTGTTTTATATATTGATATATTTGTATTTAACAGAATGATGAGTAGGCTACCTTACAATATTAACAATAATATTCCAGTCATATTTGCTAAGTCAAAGACTTACTGTATGGCCCTAGAAAACCAAGGCTTGCACCAAAATTCAGCCAAAGCCAAAAAGGTAAGCTTACTTTGGAGCCAAATGATGAACTCTTACTATAAAACCTTCAAAACTTTGAATCAAACTAAGAAAAAGGGAAAACAAGAATGGTGCAGCCATTTTGGATGCTGGATGTGCTTATAAGTTGGAAATCAGAAGTAGAAACCTTTTGTTGTCTCTGGTAAGACTGTCTATACACTAATATATCTTTACATCCCAAGGTTCTTGGTGTATAAAAGTCAGTGCAACTTTAAAATCTCCATGTAATTACTATGTTTTAATTTAACTTTAGCCAGGGTCAGACACTAAAACTGCATGTTTAGTTTTAAGAACCATCATAGTTTGGCCTAAAACACCAGATATACAACAATCCAAAAGGTTAGGGGACATGTAATAAGCTTATCCTTCTTATTTCAGATGCAGTCATTGATAGTGTATATCTGGACCACCATCTGGAAGATGAAAGTTGAAAACAAAAGTTCTGGAACAACTTCCCTGTAGACTGAATCCTCTACAAATATTAAGTCCCATCCACTCCATATTGCCCAAAGCAAAGTATTTAGCTGTATTTTATTTTGAAATGAAAGATTATGTAACACCATGACTGTGCAGAGCAGAAGGCCGGACTTAAAGCCCCACAGCTAGCATGATGAACCCAGTTTCAAAAATACAACACAGTAACTTTCATCAATCAGCTTCAGTTAGTTAGTTACTTTGTCTATATGAATATAGTCGATGGTTGCGATGGACATGTCTTTGAAGTGGTATTTTCTGAAAGAGGGCATTTGTCTGAGGTCTCACTGTGGAAATGTTGAAGAATTCTAAAAATACCCGTTGAATTATTGAAAAAAGTAACTATGTTTCACTGTGGTTATAAAATGTTGCCAATTTTAATGAATTTTAAGTGGCTTTAATTGAGTTGTTCTGATTATTCTCCCCTCAAAACAAAGATTTTATTTTATTTAAGTTGGGTTATTTAGTTCAACAAGGACAGATATTACACTTCAGCTTTAACCTCCTCTATGATTTAAAGCATTCCCTTTTATTTATTCATTTATTTTATTTTATTTTATTTATTCATTTCATTTCTTTAAAAAACAACAAAATTTATGTACAATAAAAAAAGCACAAAACTTTGCTGTGACCTACCCAGCAGTCCTTTGTCGGCGTTGGATATGCACATGTCCTTCTCGGCGCTGGGAAGGACAAAGCCCACCACGAACCCGTCCACCCCATCAGCCATCAGCGCCAGACCCAGCACGAAGAAGAGCATCCACTGGAAGCGTCCGTGTCCGCAGTCCTCCATGATGGTCTCGTACTGCTCCGGCAAGTTCTCCTCCTCCTCCTCCTGCTGTGCAGCCAGACGGGCTTTCCTCCTGGCCTCCAGCCGAGCCGCCCGCCGCGCCTCCTTGATCTCATCGGGGTGGGGGATGCCCTGGTATTCCCCTTCATACATCTGATCATCCTCGTCCGCGCCCTCGGTGGCGTCACTGGCTGCGTCCTCATCCTGCTGGGGGTAGTCGGTCTGGTAAGGGTAGCCGTCGTGACCTCCTCCGTCTTGAGTGTAGGTGTACTCTCCAGTATCAATCATCTGCTGGTTCACGTTGTTGTGATAGGGGTCATCCATGGTTCCTGCTGGGTGTGAGGGGAAGTCGCTGTCGTGTGCTGCTGAAGCTCAGATTGTCAGCTACAATGGCATAATCCTCCTGAGGAGTTCCTCTTGGCGTTGCTGCAGTCTCCTGGATCCCAGGTGTCACAAGCCGCAGCAGAGCTTCTGCAGTTCAGGTCTCACGTTTTAAGGCCTCACGCACTGCGTTGACGGAATGCTACCTTCCTTGATTTGCACAGTGCTGCATTCTGAACCTGAAACAGATGACAATCCATCAACTTTTTTTAACAAAACAGAGCTCTTGGAGAGCAGAGACGTTGCTGTGCAC